AAAGCGGAGGAATCATATTATATTTCAAAACTAAATAAATAGATAACTACTAACTTAATTTTATTCTGCTTTTCTTGGTTCTCCCATAATGCGCGGATGCTTCTCAGAAGTACATTGAAATATGGCATTTTTTTAAATCTCAGATCAAAAAGAAATAGTAAGTAATATTTTTTGTCATGACCAGTGGTGAACGTTTTAAAAAGAATGCAATATCTACCAATACGGTAGAATTCAACATGTCGCAATGAACACAGCAAGGAATGTTTTGCTTTAAACGGCGCAACGGCATTGCGGGGACCTTACCTATTAAAACCTATTTAAAATCTGGCTATTCCAACATTACGGGGAACAAAAGTTCTCTGATTATTATAATTCATTTCACGGCCTGCCTTGATTTTTTCTAATAGCTTACCTGCAAAAACACCGTCGTGCAGTATTGCCTGATATATAGTATAATTTATAAAATTTGACAAAACTTGTGTCAAAAGCTTAGTACAGATAAATGAAACCACTATTCAAGACGTTGTCGGGACACGATGGATCACAATGAATTTAACATAAAGTTTAACAAGTTTTGATTAATTCACCACAACGGGAATAGCACAAACTTACGTCGAACAGAACGAGAGCCGCAATGAAAGGAAATACCTACTTAATTAAATTTGATCAGTCTAAATTAATAATGAGGTAGTCTTTACCCCGAAATAAAGATTAATAATTGATCTGTTGAAAATTCAACGAATTTATTTGTCGCTAATTTACATTGACGTGTATTTCTTTTTAACATAAAGCGTTTGCTATTTTTAATTATTTATATTATATTGAAGAGACCTCATTAGGAAAGGGACAACCACAATTTTATATTGTTTTTATTTTACATCGCCCCTCTTTACAGTGGGCTTTTCAATGGATTTTATATTCAATTGACTTGTGTTCGAAGTACTCGTTCGTAACTTACTTTAATCGCTAAGTGAATTACTTCTAAGAGGAATTGTCATCGTCATTTTAATGTCAAAATTATTTAATTTTCACACCGAAATGGGTTTTCTTTTCAATGCAAGTACCTACTTTTCAATTTAACCGTTACGTATCTTTGCTTTTATTAAACTTCGAGTTTTATAATGATAATTAATATTCCAAACAAAACATTGTGACTTATCAATAGACGTAGATAATACTTTCTTCTATGTTTTTTGAATGCAGGTTATTTTAATTGGTTTTTAATACTTTGGAAATCAAGAAATAAAAGTGTAAAGTGTAAAATAAGAAATTGGGATTCGTGTCGCGTTTTTGGGACCGTTTTGAGTTTTTAAAATCAAAGAAGCCTTGGTAAATAGAGATATTATATTATTTAATGATAATAGATACAAATTGTTAACGAAATTCGGTTTTATGAAGATCTCGCTTATTCAAGACAACATGTTGAATGAGATGTACACATTATTAATTATAGCTAAGATTTACATAACATATCGATTAAATACGGATTACATAAATAAAAATATATAATATTAATACAATTAGCATGATAACGTGCATACAGGAAACTCGGCACAAGTATAAATAATTTCGTGTAATACAGGACATCTAGAAAAGTATCCATCACTACTTAACGTAAGTACTGATTTGACTTTGTTCTAAACACAAAGCCAAATGTAATTATATTTGTGCGAAGTCTTACATTTAATTGGCATCATGTGGTATAACTGCGCCTTATTAAGTAACGAATACAATCTTGAAGATGTTTATTAATACTTATCAACTATTTTATCTCGATATAATATGTAATTGCAACGCAATAAACTATAAATGTAGAATTGATATCAGATAAGGGGTAATCTACGAGTCACGCATTTCGGTCTTTTTTTTTATGTTTTTGCTTTCAGTCCCGAGACTATTGAAGCTTCATCTGACGCAGAACCGGTGGGCTAGCCAGAACCCAGGGGCTTGGGGTTTCGGAGTCAATAAGGGTCATCAGCAACTGATCACAAGGAGATTATTTCATACAACCATTTTTGTTTTTAACAAATTGCCACTCACGTTTAGAAAAATTTTTGGAGCTCCGTAAACGCATTTTTAAACATTGTGATGGTACACGAAAAAAGATCTTTCAATCTCAATAGCCTCGTTTTGCCAGTCGCTATTTAAGTACATACACATTTAACTGCTCTGGGTTTTTTAATGACTTAGGATGCCTTAAGCCATTAAAAATACCACTTCAACGAAGGCCGCTTTAGAATTCATAAAAATTTAACATTAAACTTAAACATCTAGCCATCTGATATAATATGTTCGTAGGCGAGACCGTACAAATATTATCTCATATTAATCTAATATGTCAAGCTCAGCGCAATGTTTATACGTGTAAATAACCTAACAATTATTACGTACATTTTATTATTAAATAGCATAAATTATTAAAATTTAAAGCATAAATGAAGTCAGTTACATATTTTAAAATATTAAACTTCTTGGTTATAATATACTTCGTGATTCTAACGGTAATTTAACCTTACCTTAATTTTATTACCATATAAAAATAACTAAACATCTTGTTAGTGTGATTTGAGTAACATTTCTAACAATTCTTAACATTGAGGACAAATAAACATTTAAAAATAAGGAAAGAGACAAAGGAATATAAAACTTATGTAAAAAAGAGCGTGAAGCACGGTATATTATAAAACAGGCATAAATTTACTTTGGTTACTAATTAATATATATGACGTATCTGTCGCTATTAAGGGAAAGCATATATTTAAAATAATTTGTTACTGATTATTATAAAATCAAGTATCAAGTTATAATAATTAATTATTTATGGAATACATTAATAGGCGAACAAATCAATGAAATCAAATAACATCATCACTTCAGTAATTTATACCTAATTATTCTTTATATGGGGAGGCCTATGTTATTTATTTCTATTTTATTATAACATTAAAAGTGTCGCCACTTATTTCAGCACGCGGGGAACGCCTATATGATTAAAATATTCTAAATAAATTGTGACATATCTATCACATTAGATCATACATTAAGCTTTGTTATATTAAGATCATAAATATTTATATAATTTTTTTTTTTTTTAATATTTAAAGCTTCTCTTTGATCGATAGTACTACTGTGAAAGTAATAACAATAGCTTAGAGTCGCATGGAGATTAAAATAATGAACTACGATGTATCATTAATTAGAGAAAACATTACTCCTAAAATTCCACGTACAGTCGAAAATTTGTTGTAAGCCTTTCAACACGTTGACTTAAATTAAAGTATCGTACCAATTATATTGTTATCTATTAATCACGGATTCGAGAAATAATTACAGAAATAACAGGACTTCTCGCAACGTATATCGACAGTGAGTCAAAGTAAGTAAGCCTCACCGCTTGTACACATTTACATCACAGTAAGCCCGCGTTTACACTACACAACAGCAACTATGTATATACTGTTTACGTCTATAATTTTAAACATGAAATATTTATCTTGTGTTGTAAAATTGTGTAGGCAAAAACAGAACTGTATCCCGGAAAACATGGGTACGACATTGATTTAACTTTAATTATCACTCACGCATAGATTACACACATACAATGCCTCACCGCCGATATACGTAGCGCGGTGTCCCGTTATTTCTCAAGTCCGTGATATTTACGTATAGGTTTGAATAAGAGCGTAGTTATTAGATAAGAAATAGAATACAATTAGTCTATTGTTAAATGTACTCTATCTGTTGAGTTGGCGGCATTATAGATATTGATAGTAACATTTTCAAACGTTGATTGTTCGTCAATAAAGGGAATTAACATAAAAAATATTCGTTCTAAACATTTCGTCCGGTAATTTTGTCAATTAGTAAAACAAAAAGGAAATCACGAGCCGCGAAATTCACCAAAAAAATGTTTTATTCGACAGAAAAACACATGATAATTATATAGCGTAAACTTGATGGATACAGACTCGAGTTCAAGTTCTAGCCCTAATCAAACGAACACGCCGAAAGATATTAGGGTTCTCGTCCGGTCTTGTTATATCTCTTCAAAATACGAAACAATAAACTAACAAGTTTGAAACAAATCTTTGTATACATAATCGTTTGTGATGGTGTAACTTATGTATGTGTTATCGCATGATAGCTTGCACTAGCTCATGACTATCCTAAGATGTAGCTCCAACTACATTAGTGTGTAAACGTGTGTGCACTTGCTATCGCATTCATCGCCCTCCGAAGGCGCAATGACTACGTATCAGATAATTTAAATATTTAAACAATAAAGTCGGAAAATTTTCTACGTTAAAAGGTTAAGAAAACAACCACCAAATCCATTTTTATTAATTCACTGTAAAATTAGTTAAGAGCATTATTATCAGCATACGAAACATAAATTATTCAACAGAGTAAAACAGGCAAAAACTTTAAGCCTTCGCCGATGTTATTAAAGAAATCTTTAAACGTTCCTCGTCTCTAAGACGCTTGCAAAAACAATTCCCGCACCACTCTCGAAATGCAAATCCACTCACTCACTCTTCCATCCAGACAAGTTATTTTAAAATATTAGCTCGCTTTCAATTTCTCTATACATAAACGTACATTCATGAGCTCCTCTCCAACCATTGTTATCCGAATCAAGCAATCGAGAAGAATCAATTACTTACTCGTACATTAAAACGATAACGAACAAGAAATCGTTTGTCGGAAACGCAAAGACTCCAACACGTGTTACCGATACAGCTCAATCGGCGAACATTCTAGAAATACGGCCTTGTGTTACCTGCAACTGAAAGCGGAAACGTCATTCGATGATGATATATAAAGATGTAGACACACTATTGTGTCCATGTACAAAGTGCGAACTTAAAACGCAGCCGCAATACAGGACGAAGATAACGTAACACTTAATACGAGATAAAGGAAGTTCTAGAAGGTGAGCCGGTGCGATAGTTTCGTATCGAAGCTTCGTGAAGCGAAGTGTACGCATTGTTAATCAGCTAGACGGGCGGTATGGTCCACAGCACGGCGGTCTTGTCCGCTGACGTCGACAGGAACGAGAAGTCGTCCGGGTGCCATCTTGCCGATATCACTTTGTCCGGATGCCGGGCCACTGGCACGCTTGGCAGCGCGCAAGTTAAGTCACCTGTTGGTAGTAACAATCGTAGATTACAATCACCCCTATCACATAAGATTCGAGTACGATTGTAGCAACCTAGTAACCAACAATACGGTATTAACTCGTTCCATCGACGATTACGATGTTGATTAAAGGGAAAATGAACAAGATACGTGCACACTCAAATACACGATAGGAAATTACTATATTTTCCATTTTCAAATTATTGTCAATGATTTTTAGAATAGACGTACTCAACTCGGGATACAAAAGTGATGAAAATGGAAGCAAATGAAAATTTGAATTTTATTAAATTCTAATCGAGTTATTAAATTTAAAACGTAATTCAATCAACGTTAGCCGAAAGCAGTATCGTAAAAAGGCAAAATAGAAATGAAATTTGTCAAAACGAGAAACCGTATGCCGATAGGGTTCGAAAACTTATTAAAAATGGGAGCCATTTCAAGAAAATAAATAGTCTACTCATTTTTATGTTTTCATTAGAGTACCCAGCCGTGATAGCTCAGTGTCCCGGCGCTCGCCTTTAATTCAATATACTCGAGCAACCCGAGTTCGATTCCCGGTGCCGGCACCAATGAAGTTTTTAACTTTAAGTGCTGACTTATCACGTGCTCCGCGGTGAAGGAAAACATCGTGAGGAAACCTGCATATTTTCGAAATAATAACAAAAAAAATATATTTCGAAAAATATGTGAAGTCCGCCAATCCGCAGTGGGGCCGCGTGGTGGACTACGCCCTGATACCCTCTGTATAGAGGAGGCCTTTGCCCTGCAGTGGGACATGTATAGGCTGTTACTTTACTTTTTTTTTATAGAGTAATGGGAAAGGTAAATCGCAAGGGCCCATCAAAGCAGCGGCATGTGTGAATTGCAAATCCCGAAAATGGAAAGGAACAATTTTAAGAGGAACTGGATTGTCTTTTTAAATGTTTCCAAATTAATTTCCTCTCATCGGCTTCGACATGGACATTTCGCTTTAATGTAGTTTCGTCATGGAGCGTTCCATGGTACAATGCTGCACCATAAAAGCTACATTAAAAAATTCAGCTCTTTGAGATATCCTAAAGGTGTACTTGTTCGATGATCTTTGGACATCGAAAATAAAAACCCCGACAGCAACCGTCGCAAGCGCGCGGGGGTCGTGTGTCCGTTCGGCGCCGGGGCGGCCACCGTTTGCAGGTTAGAACCGCTCACCCTGCAGGTCGGTGAGCACCACGCGGCCGTCGTAGCCGGCGGTGAGGAGGTAGTAGGCGCCCGGCGAAAAGCGCACGCTGCGCACGTCGCCCGAGTGCGGCGTGAAGCGCTGCAGCGCTCGCGAGCCGCGCACGTCGTGCAGCGCGCACGTGCCGTCGTCGTGGCCGCAGACCAGCAGCCGCCCGCTGGGGTCGACCGCGAGCGACGCCACCGCGGAGCCCTGGCGGACTTAGCTTTGCAGCGGCACATCCACCGCCGGTCCGCGGATTTCGGCGCTATTTCTATGTATAGCCGCTAAGCGGCTGGAGCGTTTCGTAACCGTCGGCCCTTTGGCAACCACTACATAGTATAAAATGTCGTCCCCATGTCTGTCTGTCCCCGTGTATGCTTAGGTCTTTAAAACTACGCAATGGATCTTGATGCGATTTTTTTACTAGATAGTGTGATTCAAGAGGGAGGTTCGCGTTTAAAATACATTGCACCCATTGCGCGAAGCCGGTGCGGGTTGCTAGTATGATTATAAAGAAGCTCTGATTGCGGAGTTTGGGTCATGAAATGCTCGATTACAATCCTGATATCACGGATATATGCTCGCTTTTTTTAACCAATAACTTGGCCTATAAACTAATGCGCACCTAATAGTCAACGGTGATTTGAAAGTACTCCTGCATCATTTTTGGAGGACCACATGTAACGATGAAAAATAACCGTCTCATGGTGGCAGGGCCACGCAGCAGCTTCGGCTGTTGCACGAATGGGCAGGCTCGTCCGGGTAAGTACCACGACCTCACAGAAGACCGGCGTAAAGTGGAAGTATAACACTTCCGCCTTTCGTGTGGTGAGTGAGGTAGCCGGAGCCCAATTTTCAAAAGGTTGTCAACGCATCTGAAACCCTCGGGTGTACCAGATGTCCATGGGCGGCGGTATTCACTTAACATCAGGTGAACCGTCTGTTCGCTTGGCAACTTTTCACATAAAAAAGGACCACATGTAACGATGAAAAATAAGCGTCTATCAAACTTTACTAGCAAATAAGTTGAAGATATCACTGGAATTAACTTATAGAGATGACCTTACCTTGCTCGGCTGGCCGGTGGGCGGTGAGATTATGTTCACGCAGCCGCCGGTGCGCAGATCCCAGAAGCGGACGGTTTTGTCCTGACTCCCCGAAACGAACATAGCACCTCCCCAGTTGTAGAGCGACAGGACATGGCCAGAATGGCCACTCAATGCCTGCAGGACAAAGTAGAGCAACTTACTTTTTACATGGAGTGAGTAATCGTCCTAACGATTTGAACATGAATCGCCTAATTTGCAAATCGTGATTGTGTTTAAACAACTAAGAAAGATTGTATAAGTATGAAGTAGACACCTTCTGCGATAGGCTGATGTAAATATAAAATACACGAGCACTTAATACAAAACGCGATGGCGCGGGGATAAACAAGGACGTAATCTATGCGCAATATCCTGTACCAGGTTCCGATTTACATTCTCATGAGTGTCGAAATGCACACAGCGCTTGAATGTGTGACAATATTGTATATAACTTCTCTTTACTTATTGTGTTGCATAAAACAAGATTGAAGTGTATCTTTGCGAATAACTTTACAGATTTATAAATGTTTTTCTTTTTAAATTACTAAAAATGCAGACTGACAAATAAATTAACGGAAACTATACGGAAAAATTGTTTACATTAGTAGCCACAACAGTGACTATCATGTGGATTGGATAGTATAACTAACCTAAACACAAATGCCATAACTACCAACCTACTTCGACCTAGGTTAATTATGAGATTACGATAAGAGTAGAACATACTGTATGTAAAACATCCGCACATTGCCAACTGTGTCAACAAAAAACCTTAGTTCTTTTTCTAGTGTACTTACAATTGTTAATAATGAACTAAAATCATCTTGTTTCTTCATAATCCTCGTCACAGGTTTCGCGTACTTGCGAAATATAAAAAAGGGCGGTTGTTAATCAAATGTGAGCCACTTCTTTGATGTGGTCTTTACATGATCCGTTCGCAGGAAATTGGCCATAGATGACTCAAATAAAACGTTCAGTTAAAGGCAACGTAAAATGGAACGGGATAAAAGGTCTAGGCTCTCTGCCTGCTCCTCTATTTAACTGGTTGTTCGGCTGACTGCGCACTTAATCTATTAGGTACTCAAACGTACCAAAACATAATATACAAATTGTCGAAGTTAAGACTGAGAACCCTTAGATTATTTACATTAAACTTTCACATAATATGTTATGTGAGGGAGGAAGGTCTTAGGAGATGTTCAACAAAGCAATACTTAGAATTCTAAAATATTTAGATTACAGCAAACAAAGAAGCAAGCGTATACTTTTTTGTTGCAAAGCCAGGAACACATGCGGCACTTTGATGAAAACAAGATATTCGAAACCGGACACGAGAATAACATTAAGAAAGCATGCCGCTTACGTAAAGTGTTACATTGGACACAGTAAGCCTCTAAAGTGCTCCGGGCTTTCTTTTCAATTTCTACAAAACTAAAAATGTTTAACATGAAAACTACTTTTCCTAAATGATATTAAAATTTCAAATGTTTTATTGTAAAATGTCATATGGAAAAGTGGTAGTTTGCTTTAAAGGAAGCACACTAGACGACGACAAAGAGTGCCATCAAAATGTAATAAAAACGAAGTAGATAAAAGGCGAAGATATTCGACGGTTGGAAGATAAGCCGTCTAGCTCAGTGGCTAAAGCGTCGGATGGGGGGTGTCCCGGGGGCCACAGGTTCCGAATCCTCGCAATTATACAAATACACAGCACAAGCGTTTCGATTACATGTTGTTAGTAAACACTTCTCCCACCTGGAATGTCTTTCCCGTTGCGCAGTCTGTCACGTATATTTTGCAGTCACCAGCGCCGCCGCTAACTAACAGACTGGTCTTGTTAGAAGTGTCCTCTATAAAGCACACGTCTCGGACTGTACCATCGTGCATAGTCAATTCCACCTGAGTATAACATAATAAAAGGATAATCATTAATTAATATAACGATTTACTAAAATCAATAATGTTTTAACAAACAACAGCATACTCTGACATCTCCACAAAAAATTGAAATGTAAAATAAATGTAATAAAAATACATATAACAAAACAAAAAAAAAAAAATTAATAAGCAATAAATAAGCTCAAGGTAGGTATATGGTAGGTATACATCCCAAGTACTATACATTTAGTATTACCAAAAAAGAGGAAGATTTTTTTAATTTTATTAAGCAATAACGATTTACTTTTATATCGAAAATATAGTTAATATATCACTCCGAATGGAAAGTGACTAAATCGTTAAACCAGAGCAATAGGATCCTAAAGCAGAATAAATTAGAAAGTCTGTTATTTTAACGAGGACCTCCTGTACAACTATAAGTCGAGGCGACTATATTTCTCCTACTTCTGCCTTTATGGCTTAACTGTTTTAAAACCGCGGACTAAAAACTTTACTGCCTATGAAGAGAAAAGGACTCTTGTAAACTCTAGGAACGACGTTATACGAAAATTCCGTCTTGAATTTTTGTATATCGTCTTATATAAAAATTCCGCTCCAGGTTAGTGTCAAAATAATCAAAGGTCGCATTATAAAAAAAATTCCCCATTTGTATACTGTCATAATAAATGAACAGTTTTTATATAATTTATCTACTTTTTTTTAAATTATGGTTTGAAAAGTTAAAAGGCTCGGTCCATCCTGCGCACACGGCTCTATCACGCACCGACAAACTAGCGTAATTACGCCACATCTAACAAATTGTTATAAAACATATTTTGAGATGATTTTAGATCTGTTAGTCAAAGCAATAATCACATATTAGTCACTAATAAGATCAGTATATTTATCCTATTAGTATCGCAGAGATTAATTAAGGCTATAAGTCCATTCCTTTTAATAAGACTCGTTTAATCATAGCCTTATACGGTATTTGCCTATAAATAGTCATTTTTCACTGTTGGCTCGACATGTAAATGCGTGGCATGCACTCAAAAGCCCTTGCAATACTAAAATGACCTACTTAGAACATCTGTTTGACATTATGCCTTAATCATCTTCCCTCGTATGAACTGGAAAACACATACCTATACCGTTATGCTGTACATACAAATATAAAAATTATTGAAAAAAGCACTGGATCAACAATTTTTTTTTTTTTTTATAAATTTTAAAGTTTTTTATAGTGCTAATCTCTGCACTTAAGATTGAACATTAAAACATGTAAAAAAAGTACGAAATGATTGTCGCCGCTGTGGGAATCGAACCCTTTTAATTTAAAAGCAATGGCGACATCTCTCGTTCGAATTATCGTTGTAAAACGATATTCGAAATTGTTTGTATGCTGGAAATGATATAACAATAGATGCGCCAAGCATTGCTTCAAATGCTAAATAACAATGTAGAAAGATTGCGTTAAGATTTTCGTCGCTGTGGCTATCAGCCGTTTAGCTCAGTGGCTAGAGCGTCAGGCCGCGAATGCCGAAGACGTGGGTTCGATTCCCACAGCGGCGACAATCTTTTCGTACTTTTTCTACATGTTTTAATTTTCTTATTGTTCACAACTATGTCGTCAAATAATTCATTTCGTATTAATAATATGCGCAGCTATTATAAATTCATACTCTTTATATAAGTAAATATCATTGCTAATTTTTCACAGATACGTATGTGCTTAGCTAGCATTATTCGTTTAATAGTCACACGCATGACGTGAGAAGCGTGTATGAACAAATCTAGGTCATATTTTTTTACAACATTCACGTTGAAATTACAAAACGCAGATGAAATCAGACTTTCAATTCCTTACTATATTATTACCAGTCAGTTTATATCAAATGTTATAGTGGATGTGTTGACTATTGCAAGTACCTACGTCAAAAACGGCCACAAACCAAAATGGCGTTATTGGAGAGAATATTTCCTAATAAATTAAATCAATTGAGTCAGTTAAATCAAATGGTTTACACAGGATCGCTACAAAATGCTCAGTCGGATTTGACAGAATCGATTAAAATAAAGTCAAACCACTGACCGCAGCCGTCACAAATGTCTGCCCAGCAGATTCTAATAGAAATCAAACGAACATCACAGAAGGACATTTTAGAACGGTGTTATTTCGGCGCAAAATTCCCGTATGAAATGTGAAAAGTTAACTGACATGACTCGACAATATTTAAAATCATTGAAGTACCCATGTATGAAATAATTTAAACATGCATCTATATGAAATTAGTACTTTATAGATCGACTGGCCGTGAACGCCCACTGAGTACACGTTCCAGATTATTACCAAAAAAAAAAAAAAATAACGAAGAACAAAAGAGCGACATTTACGTAATACGTGAGAATGACAACGGCGGCGGGAGGAAATCATCGCAGCGAACAGGCCTACGTGCCACTTTGAGTAATTAGTTCACAGTAAGCTCTAGAGAAATATCTGAGACAAGGCGACGGCGTGTAGACTATCAACGTGTCTGGGGAATTGGAGAGCACGACGCCTGTTTACCTCACTTTAGATATTTATAACGGTCGGCTCGTCAACCGCCGCTCATGGCAGGTGGTTGGGTGCCGGTGCAGTAAGACAGCTAAACCGCTATTGTAACTGGTAGGTTACAATAGTTTCATCTAATACCTTAGCGTCACAAGAGAATGTATAAAAAATGAGGAAAGAAACGAAACCACTCGAAAATACGGGAAACTTATTTAAGTTCCTCGCTTAACAATAATTAATGAAATTAACGTATGTTGATCGGAAAACCTCGGGCTTGGTGTAATAATAGAATCTGTCGTCATAACTTAAGATGACGTTTAGTCGATTACTGGAATTTAACGAATTCGCAATTCACGGAAAATCAATTATCGTAGTGAGGATAGATTTAGATAAACTATTAAAACAGCGACGATAAGATATAATGCTACTCATTAAAATAAACTTAATAGATTAAATAGACAAAGTAAAATATAACGCGCACAAAAATACATTTATTACCCGAGCTATTCAACCTTGGGCTTATTTATTTCCTCTTCTTTTATTGTTTGTTGTCCGTATATTTTACAGCCATATTCCGAAATCATATTGTCCCTAGTTAATGGCTTATGGGAGGTAATTTATCGCGAGGTGATAATTCCTAGTATCGACAGGCAGCGCCCCTATGATTTATAGACAAGTTTCCATTTAATAGGAAATGTAGTCCATAGTGTAATTCTTATGTCCAAATCTTATCTTACACTAAGAATCCTAAAATATCCGTTAGTAAAAAACATCAAGAACAAAAGAAGAGCTTTTCGGTGGGACTAACTAAACTATAATATAAAATAAAAAAAGACTAGGTACTCGTGCAGTATTGTACAGCTGTCCTTCAACAGTTTAACAGCATTATTGTAAATATTAAGCAATGGTTAATATCACACTTACAATTGCCTCTAATGTGACGACGCGACGGTGCGAAATATTATGTAGCGAAAATAAACTCGCTAATGTCTTATGAGCAACTAGCGGGTAATGAAAATACCAATATAGGTTGGACCGTTAAGTTTATCAGAAATGAACTGTGAGCACCAGGACTATGTTTTTTTTTTTGTTATTTGAGCGAGAACATCGTCTCAGTCTCCGAGAAGAACGTATTGTAGGTGTTACTTGAACACTGTAGAGTTTAATTTGCAGAATTGTAAATAAATAGCAAAATAAACGGCGTTGCGTCTGTAAAGATCATCTTTGAAACGCGCATAGAATGTCTATGGTTGAGAATATTGGGAGCAACGGTCATTAATATAGTTCAACAGTACGATTTAATGCTACTCAGAGGTTCAGTGTACTTCTTTACACTGTACAATTAAATTCATAATCTCCAATCATTGGTAGGAATAATGCGTTCGTAAACGTTTATCCTGTCGAAGTGACCATTGGTCCGCATTTTCACGCATACAATATAATCGAATGCGCTAACAATGCCATGAAATATCTCGTAAAAACATAAAATTTACGGTACAAGAAATTGAAGAAACACGTCTTTATTTCGTTCTTGTAGCTTTAGCCACTGAAAAAATGTCTTTAGTCAGAGAAAGGTCTCTAGGGCGTTAAAAGTATCATAACAAATGTCTATTTACTGTGTAACTAATGTATTAGCACTAGTGATGTGCCGGATCATTAAAATTGTATAAATATTGTATATAATTAAAGTGTAGATCCGCGGATACGGATCATTGGCAACGCTGACAATATCCGCTGATACGGATACGGATCTTAATATCCAGGAAGTCTGATTCGAATGTTAAATTAGATTTTAGTTTTTCAATAATTGATAAAAAAATTTGTTTCAAGTGGCCACTTTTTTACACCCGCGGGTCAAAGGAATAAAAAAAAATTGCTTACAACTTTGGAAAATTAAATAAATTTCACAGCAACTATAAAATGTACTAAGGATTGACCAATTATTTTCGCCAGAGTCTAGAAGAGTCTATGGATACGAAAATTCATTTGCTACGAGTACATGTCAGAAAAAAGATTATTAAGACAGCCACGACCCACTGAAGTATTGGCAGATTAACAGTAAAAAGTTTGGTGGTCTGAGTCATACGACTTGACGCCCCGATTGGCTTGGGGAGTAGGTAGTTAGCCTGCCTCTTGCGCCAGAGGGTGTTGGTTCAATCCCCACTACTGGAGAAATATTGTGTGATGAACATAGTGTTTTGCCAGTGTCTGGGTGTCTATAAATGTATAATATGTTTTCAGTTTTCTAGTACCCATAGCACAAGCGTTGCTTAGTTTGGAACTAGACAACGTAAAAAAATTATGCAAAAATAAATATTTTCGGATTGGATTGGATTATTATCTTCGGTTTTTTTATCATGACTTTTCACTCTTATAAAGAGTAACTTGGCAGCTGTATCCCCCAGCTGCCAAGTTACTCTTTTTGAAGTACAATTCCTTTAATTGTCACTGTGTTTTAAATCAAAATTTAACACTGAGTGTCATAGTGTATTATTTTACTTAATTAGAATTATCATTTTATTACTATTATAAGGGTAAAGATCCCTAAAAGATCCGTCAAAAATGTAGCGGATACGGATACGCATTTTTTTCTTCCCGACGAATATCCGCGGATACGAAACGGGACGAACATCACTAGTTAGTACTTTGAAAAAAAATATATATATGTATATATTTTCGTTCATTGCACATATTTCGTATCACCAATAAAATACATTAGGGTCCGTTAAAAAGGATCATTCAATATATCGGAAGATAGAAGATTGAGCACGTTTGTATCTGTGCCAAACGGCGTGCTATCATATTACATAATGGTGAACTTAAGATATTGCCATAATCAAAGTTATCGTAACAACGTGTAAACAATCGTTGCGTTATTCAGTTTAAAGCCTCTTTTAATCGAAGCTTTAAACCAAAGTATTCAATTATTCTGAAAATATCACGTGCTTGCCAAAGCGTTTTTAAAACCAACCCAGTGGCTTTAGTAGGTCCATTATTCTTTGAAGAGAGGGTCCAGTGAGGCATTTAATATATTTTGTGGTTGGTATTTAACTAATTTAAAATACATAACGTTGTCATAGTAATAATAATGCCATTTGGCAAAAACCTCACAGTCAATAAATAATCTTTAGATTAAATGCTTGTCGATCCTTTCTCTTTAAAATGCTAAGAATCTTTAAACGTTAGTAAATAAATTACTTACCTCTTGTCCCTCTAAATTACATGCGTGACTGTTGAATCGCATCAACTTAACAGTCTTGTCATTGGAGCCAGTCGCTAGAAGATCACCAGCAGGGCTCCACGCCAGACAGTAGATGCTCCCCTTATGGTGTTTTGTGCGCTTGAGGAGTACAGTAGGAGCCGTCGGTGCACTATTGTCCCTATCGAGAAAAAAAATATAATTAAAATATAATTAAAAGAAGACTTATCGTATAAATAACTTTATTCAGTTGATAACGCTAATGGCCTGAGTGAGGGTATTTAACATGAAAGAATACGCGAAGTAGATATATTGTAAGGGGAGGGAATAACATATGAATATCTATCTACGTCATGGTAAATTCCTTGCGAAGGGAGAACAGAGCTACTTTAAATTATTGAATGCGCGTTCTCATTCAAATTGGCGCACTCAGTTGAGATTGTTTACTTTGTGTCTTATTACAATTATAGTGCTGTTACAGAATTGGTATGAAAATTCATTAGTTTCCAGACGTACTCCAAACAACCAAAAACGTCTGCACTCACAACTGACTATTCGGTTGTTAACATTTGCCAATGCAGACAGACTATCACCCTAGGGCAAAAGATATACAAACGTAATTAGCGTTTAAACAATCTTCAGTTATATTTGCACACCCGATTAGAGATAACAAAAAGGGAAAACACAGAAATGGAAAGGAAAACATTCCATTTACTGGAATTTTCCAGATTTTTTTTCCACAGTACAGTGACGGTATAAAAGTATAAATTGATACAAAATCATGAATTTACATCGCTTTATCACGCCTATTTCGATGCTATCCACTAAAACTTAGAAGAGGCTCTTACACAGGGGTTAATAATGGATAATTCCACGAAAACATCTTGTTTCGTAAAAAAAACTAACTGGTTTCGTAAATATTAACACCATGTTAATATATATTGCAAATCATGTTTTGTACAAGAGAAAGAAAAACGTAAACATATAACTTTATCGGCCAAAAAGAGAAAGATAATGCACCAAATTACGGAAATGGTTCTCGCGTTCAGGTGGAAGCTCCACCCCAAAGAAGTATTGATTTTCAAAGATTACGTTTGGGGGAAAATATGAAGCGACTCCCGCATCGACAGTACTGTAACAAGACTATGGCAGAAGCTTGAATGTATTGTGTAACGTATACTACGATCGATATTTATTCTAAAAAATTGTAACGAAATTGGCGAAGTTACTTAATAACTGTAAGAAAGAAACAAGAAATCAATAAAATTTTATAAATTTATCATTTATAGAATTTTTTTACTGGTATTTAAAAGTTTAAACATGTAATTAACAATAATAATTTTTAATTTTAATTAAGTTTCCGCATAAACTTAGTTTTCAAAATTCTGCACCTGCAAATATTTAAATAATTATAGCCTGAAACCTTGAACAGTAGTAAAACAATTAAATCGTGCAAATTTATTTAAAAATGATCCATGAATCAGTTGTTTGCTGATCAACAGCACTAGTAATAATGTACACTGACATCAAACTTACTAACATTATGATTTTCGTTTCTTATCTTCACTAAATAGTATAAAACAAAGTAATCCCGTTGTCTTTCTGTCCCTATGTTTACTTAGAGCTTTAAAATTATGCAACGGATCTTGATGCGGTTTTTTACTAGATAGAGTGATTCAAGGGGAAGGTTTATATCTATAATACATTGCACCCGTGCGAAGCCGGGGCGAGTCGCTAGTTATATATATAATTCTACTGTACGTGTTTATGTCACTGAACTCCTCCTAAAGGGCTGGACCGATTTTAATAATATTTTTTGTGTGTCTTCAGGTCGAGTAGAGAATTGTTTAGAACTTTAGATTCACAATTCGTCCACTACCATTTTGTTTTTTTATTATCACGATATCGGATTTAAGTCGTGTGTACTGTCGGGTCTGCTAGTAACTTATAAAATGCTAATTTATAATGTATCGATATTTTCTTATAGTCCATCCTGTTTTATAAAATACTAGCGACCCGCCCCGGCTTCGCACGGGTGCAATGTATTATACATATAAACCTTCCTCTTGAATCTCTATAACTAGTTAAAAAAACCGCATCAAGATCCGTTACGTAGCTTTAAAGATCTAAGCATCATTGGGACAGACAGACTGCGGATCGACTTTTTTTATACTATGTAGTGTGATGCACAGCAAAGAGACGTTTATATTTCAAGTGACATTTTACCATAGACAATTTGTTTTTGAGTAATGTTTCCATCGTAAAAATATTTACAAATATTGACATTAATATTCATACGATAATAACGTCAATCTATTGTTATGCCTTCCCGGAATCCCTCCACTAACACTTAAACTTTATGGTATGGTATTAAAGATCAAATTGACTTTTAAGTATTATTACGATTCTTTTGTATGGGGATATAGAAAATTGTGTTTTTGGACCTTCTCAGGCAATTCTTAAAAATTTTCACTCAGTAGAAACCATTCTCGTACTTCAAGGAATATTCAAAGAATTATCGAAATCGTTTCAGCCCTTTTCGAGATTTGCGCTTAGCAACACATTCAGCGATTCATTTTTATATATAGAAGATGTACAAAATAAATCTGCCATAGATAATTATTCACGAAATGTCCCCCTTAGTGTGGATAAAATAAAAATCTCATTTCCGCTTGTTGTACTAACAATAGATAGATAAATGGATAGATGGCCATTTGGAATACTTAATCTTACGAAGTAGACGCACTCATTTCCATTTTATGCATTGGTTAAAAGGTGTTATTTGTTAAGCTTAATCTCACGATAGTGGCCTTCTGCTACCGTTGTTTCTAGAATAATTCCGTTTAGATACCAGTATCTCAAGAGATCGTAATTACAAATAACTACTTCAACGGTAAACGCCATATCATAAGCAGGCCACTATACCAGACAACAAACACGAATCACGCTGCTTTCTAGTTTTGCGTTGCAACAATATAATGTTCAATCGGTCTCAATTTTTCAGACATCTTTTATATTTATACTGCATGACAAAAATATAGATTTTTAATATATCCTGAAACTTAGGCATCTTCATTTTAAAATTTTAAAATCAAGCCATAAAAATCGGAGTTCTGAGGCAGCGAACATAAAAAAAACACAGAACCGAATTGAGTCGGCCTTTTCGGAGTCACTTTGAAAAATACAAATTCGTGCAGTACAGGAGTTATTTTACCATGGTGAAAACGCGACGCAATAAATTTCAAAGTAAAACGACCCACCCGACCGGCATCACATGGAATAACAAACGCTTCATACATAAACAAATTTACTCCGGTCATTGGCTTCATACGCTCTATAGGTATTGCCTACGCTCCGTCACTTGGCACATACGGGGTGGCGCTTTTAATCACTAGTCGTGATCGAGACTTGAATCGCAATAAATTATTCAAACCTGACGGAGGCTGATACGACTTAATGAGTCGAACGTGGATAATTATTACTAATCCATGTTCAGCATCAGTATAATGATTTTTTTATTCTCAATTACAGTTATTCAGCATTTGTTTAACATGTGTATACAATACAAATTTAATTATTTCATGAAAGTTCTCAAAAACTTATCGTTGGTTCCAATAAAAACTGTAAGATTAATTACAAAACATCTGGCTTCAGAAAATTTGAAAGGAATAATACAGAACAAAAATATAACAACTTTACAATAATCCGCTTTTATTGAATTACGCATGGACAAACAACCAAATACAGACATACATATTATCATTTAAAGCGTAAATGTTGTAGCTATTTAAAGATACAAGTAGGAGTCAACAGTCCACTGTATTTCACTAAAATTGTTTATAATTATTTACAATTATTTATTTATAATTAAGAGCCGTGATAGCTCAGTGTCCGGGCGCTCGCCTTTAATTCAATATACTCGAGCAACCCGAGTTCGATTCCCGGTGCCGGCACCAATGAAGTTTTTAACTTTAAGTGCTGACTTATCACGTGCTCCGCGGTGAAGGAAAACATCGTGAGGAAACCTGCATATTTTCGAAATAATAAAAAAAAATGTATTTCGAAAATATGTGAAGTCCGCTAATCCGCAGTGGGGCCGCGTGGTGGACTATGCCCTGATACCCTCTGTATAGAGGAGGCCTTTGCCCAGCAGTAGGACATGTATAGGCTGTTACTTTACTTTTACTTTACTTTATTTATAATTAAATTTTTTGATGACCATCTTCCCTCTGGTCTACACAGACTTATTCATTTAACATTGCATGATCGTGAACAATAAATGTTTTATTATTACTTTATTTTGATTCATGGTACATACAACTTTCTACATTCCTTCTCTTTATAATTTTGGACTAAGCAAAACGCACCTACTTCATTGTAATCAATAACGATTGAAAAAGGAGCTAATAAATGTCTTTCTAAAGTACAGTAACAAAATGGTAGTACGTGATGCAATCTTTAATAAGAAAAACATCATAGTTAACATGAAATAGAACCCCCATCGATCTTTTGTTTTCCAATTTCCTGAAACTTTATTAATAAATCAATAGAAGAGGTGCACTTTCTATGAATACAGAAGCAGTAACTACTAGTTAGAGACCAGAGAGGTAAACCTACCAACTTCTCAACAGACAATAGAAACATCAAAGCAAAACGACTGTACCAACTAAACTTGTATTCGATCCGTGAAAGGTTAAGTGCGGGGTTCAGTGGAATAGATTTGCAGGGCTGTACTCGTACATGCAAATTGTTTACCTTTCAGGTACGTATTGCATTATGAGCCTTAGCTTGTGACACGCGAAGTTATGAGCAAACCAATCATACCGAAAAGTACTCACTTGACGTCGTCAATTTTGGGATACGAGCATATCCTGAGTGTTTTGGTGTTCGAGCCGACCGCGTACAGTTTCCCGTTCGGATGGAACTCGGCGCACCGCACCGCTTGCAAGTCTTCTAACACGGTAACGGGTTTGAACGTGGGCCTTGAGCCGTTCACCTCCGCGCCGATGCCCACACCCGCTCCGCTCTGCGGCGACAGCGGCACATTCTGGTGGCCGCCGTTCCGATTCTGTGTCTGCGGGATGAAAATCAATTATACACCACAGACTTAACGAACGCCTGACGCTCAACGAAACCGAGGGTACATTTAACGTAGTCGTGAAACGTATTGAAGCCGATCTCTCCCAGAAATGTGAACGATAAATCGGAGACCCAAGTTGATCATCAACTACTGTCCCTATGACCAAACTATGAATATCAGATTAATTTGACAATCGTGAAATTATGCCTCGTTTCCAAATCAATAAATAAGTATGAAAATTCTTTGGACGGGACGGAGCGAACGAAACATACATAGACGTAAGACAAAAATGTTTCATCTCAAATTAAATGCCACTCAGAACGGCCTTAAACAAAGAAACGCTTTTGCTTTCACCGAAAAGAAAAATAATTCGTTTGTTACAATATTACCGGTTTACATTTTGTAACGTTACATTCGATAACGTCCTCGCTAAAACACGATTTCGTATCGGCCATATGTTTAAATTACAGCGCCTTTTGCAGAAAAGATACCAAAACGAGTAATAAAAAATTAAATGTCAACAAAACTATATTATTATTATTACTATATCAGTCTTGGCTAAATTATTGTTCTTAAATTATTTAATCTTAATAATGCTAAAAACAAGATACTAATGGAAACAATATTATGCTTGACAATTATAAAAATAAATACTGTTTAGAACGATTTCTCCGAGATTATCTTACATCTCCATCTACCATAACAATCGGTACATTATCTTCACTAAGCTGCATGTTGGTATGCACTGTAGTTTTTCAAAAATGTTATCGATTTCATCACCACTTGCACCAATCATGGTCATTTGTGATTGTATTCAATATGTTATTAAACGGTTTTATTTAGCTCGACCCGTACGGAATTTGTTTGTTTATTTATTTGGGTCAAAATTAGAAATTGAAATTTAAGCACCTTGCCGTTGTCAGATTGATCTGAAATTTGGTACACACATTTAATTTAGATGACAATACAATATTAAAAAAAAACATAAAATAAAACCGTTTAACTTAAAAGTTTTTTAAAGTAATTATTAATAATCCTAGTTTAATAATGAATAGAATTATAAAATCAAAACGGGGCGTCTTAAAAGAAAGTGCGAACCGTGACTATGTCTTTGTGGGCTAATGATTAAAATTATGCTTAAAATATGAGACATCTTCTTCGCAATGTGACTTAAACTAGAAACACATATACAATATATTAAACACATATACAAAAATTTGGGAACATTTTACATTGTTAAGGATATTGCGTGAATAAAAGAACACTGTTTTTTTGTAATAATTTTGCAATGTTAATAATTCTAAAATGTAATAATTCATTAATAAGTTATATTTCATTATAAAGTTGTTAATAATTCTAATAATTCTAAAATGACTTTCAAAATCATTTTTTTGCTGTATACTACATACAATGTAATGACAAAAACAAATAAAACGTCGACGCAGGCCCGCATTCGTAAATGGAAACAGATAACAATAGTGTTTTAGGGCACATTTTTACACAACATCTTCTAGTCCCAGACGATGCAACGCTTGTACTATGGGTAATAGATAACTGATAAACATACTTTTCTTTTATATATATTTCCAGGAACTGGAAAAACGCTATGTTCATCATGCAATATTTTTCCAGAGTGAGGATCGAATCCACACCCTTTGGAACAAGATGCATGTTCACTATCCACTACTCCAACGGGTTGTCGTATAACATAAATGTAAACCACACGTTTGAAAGAAAACCAGTAGAAATTAATGTAGAAAATGAACACAGATTTATAAAGGTTACTTAAATTTTAATACTCTTTTTATGGGTGTTTGTACAAAACGTGCTATATTAGGACAACTAAAGTCATCGTACGGTTACATGACATCACTGACGTGATTGATATTGATGAATCGAGTCATTTCGGAAGGTTCTCGAAAGCGGTAAAGCCAGCTGTATGTGTTATGTAAGATGTCAGCGCCGAGGCTGCGAGATTTTCTATGACTATGCGATCTAACGGTACATTATGAGTATCGTGATCGAGAAAACCATATTTTGTAACATTACAATGTTCAATGAAAGTTAATAATTTCTCAGGGGAGCAGTTTGTCATTCGTCAAAGTTGGTGAAAAGCACGGGCTATCTTTATCTACTCTTTTTGGGTTACGGATGCGGTAGCTATTATAAAAAATAATTATAAAAATAAACAACAGAAATAAAAAATAAGTATAGACACGAGTGTTTTGTTGATAAATTTATTTTCATCTTATTTAAATTAGTTTAGCAAAAAAAGAGATATATGTGTATAGCAATAAATATATGAATTAAAATAATAAGAAAATAAATAAATGTATGAATATAATATGTAGTCAAGTGATCGTGGACCCATGATTGACAGACTCATTAAAATGCTTGTTTACAAGTACCAGGTATATCAATACAAAGATAATAACTACTAAGAATATTGGTCATCATAAATTGCACAATGATTGATCCGTTATTTTTAAGTTCGATGTAACAACAACAATGTACAAATTACGTCTAACAGTAAAATGCATATTTACATAATTAGATTCCACTTAATCAAAATGGGGTCTCAAAAAGGCTCAAATATAAAATTAAGGTGTTATTTTTGTTGAACGGACGCATGTTCATAATTGTGGATAGCGAACTTGTTGCTATTGCTTTAAATGACAGTAAAAATATATTTCTTTTCATAAGCCACTAAAATGAACATAATGTGGATTAAAAAGGAATATCATACTATTTTATGAGGTTTTCGATACACTGTGAGCAGTTAAGCTAGGGAGCAGCATCTATTTGTGTGCCATGGCACGATATACGAAGTAAGAAATCAACCGGGACATCATCGTAAACGGTACATCACACGACATAACGTGTTAAAAGTGAAACAGATTACATAAAACACGAGTAATAGATCTAAGAACTGGTGGCCTATGGAACTAGTTTTATTTATTTAAAGGCCGCCCACCTGTTTTGACTGATAAGAAAAATATGAAATTCCGATGTTACCTATACAGCGTGTCGTTACCATCGCGACAATAAATGAACATACATATAGAGGATAACTTTTAAAAATTGTATTAAACATTTACATTCTTTAAACATCAATATTTACCGAGTTATTAAATTTTCCAAAACAAAGAATTTTAGAACACCCTTACGTATAGAACTGTAACGTAAAGTTCATTTGTAAAGGTCACAAAGCATATGAATGGGTTGAATGAATTTAAAAGAGACAAAACATACTGTTAGAAGGAGAGGCTTGTAATGCGACGCTGTGGCGCTCGTTGTATAGGATGTTACAAATTTTGTTTCTTTTTTACTTAATTAGTTTGTTTGAAAAAAAATTTTTTTTAATTATGGATTTTGTTAAACGTTAATATTTTTTTTGATTATTGGTAAGTTGCGTTAGACGTGTGTTCATTTATTGTCGCGATGGTAACGAGACGCTGTATAATGAATGAAAAGAATGAAATGATGATAGACTGTATAGAAATAAATATTGTGCACAGTTTCTATTATGCTCTGTTCTTAGCCTTTCCAATGTTTCTAATCAAAATAATGGTAATTTTTAAACACTTTTAAATATAATCAACAACATTAATTTTCTTGATAGAACTGTTGATAAGTGTTAGAAGTCTATGCTTAATGGCTATGATGACCTCAACGACGCCATCTTTGTTAATCGGCGTGCAGTTCTTATATTTTAATTGATACAATTAACTGTTTTAATTTAAAAACTATCTTCATAGCAACGATTCAATGTGAAACTCTAGTGTTAAAACTCTAAGACGATTAGTTATCACTATAAGCTTACAAGTGCGTCGTACTTGTGGTTCGCGTTAGTCATCCACGTTCGCATGCAATTTTACGATGAAAGCGATCAAGCAGCACACTCAATGTGAATAAGTAAGGCATAAAACTCGCAATATGAAGACATTAACATTGGTATAGCAATAAGAGACATATAGATTAATAAATTTGTATAATCAAATGACTCCGCATTGGCTCAGTAATGTTGCAATGTCCGACTCTCCTCCGTGCTGCAATAGAAAGTTACACTTTACTGCCGTCTCATTCTGTGCCAGTCCGATCTTTCCTTATTACATTACATTAGTGCTCACTCAAAAAAGGCAGTACAATTCGTATTCAAAAGCATTACAATACAATCCGTGTCATTCATTACGTATAGTATTTACAATTTTGCGGGCGAAATAGTTTTGTTAGATAATTAATACCCTAAATTGCAAAGAACACAATGCACATACAAATCAATAATATTGTGGACTAGCTGTGCCCGCGACTTAGTCCGCGTGGAATTTAATATAAAAAAAATCTAAAATAAAATTAGCCTAAGTTACTCCTGACTACGTCAGTCAAAGTCCCGTCCAAATCAGTCCAGCCATTTCAGAGATTAGCCGGAACAAACAGACAAACAGACAGGCAAAAATTGTAAAAATGTTATTTTGGTATATGTACCGTGTATACATCCATATGCTTTTAGTAAAAAGCGATTATTATAATATTACAAACAGACACTCAAGTTTTATTTATCTGTATATATATATAGCATTTTGTTAAATCACAGTAAGGTTAACCACCTGTTTTATATCAATTCAAAATGTACCTATAGAAATTATGATAACGGTATCATTGATCGCACTTAATTGCGATTCGGGCTACTCATAATCTAAGCAAATTAGAACAAATCCACAAAGTCGCTCACTGCAATAGACTTGTTTTGTACTTGCTTTGGCATTAGATAATGTCATAATTCACGCCCATACCTACAGAAAGCATATGAGATTACAAATCTAACGTTCTATTTATATCTAACCTAATTAATAAATATTAATCATTCATATAAATAAAATTCTGTTGCAAGCAATGTCCACATTATATAGGAACTGGACCACGGAGCTTCGCTTAGTTTTTTTTTAGTGTCAGGTCTTATTTTTTGGTAATGATACTTGTTAAGGTTACTCGAAAGCAGATAATGTGAAATACCTAACGACATATGACAGAGATTGAAGGTACTGGTAGTAACAATGGAAGTATTTTTTTTTTCTATGTGAAAAGTTGCCAAGCGAGCAGTCGGTTCACCTTTTGCAAATTGGGCTCCGGCTACCTCACTCACCAGACGAAACGCGAAAGTATTATATTTCAACTTCGAGCCGGTCTTCTGTGAGGTCGTGGTACTTACCCGGACGAGCCTGCCCATACGTACAACAGCTGAGGCTGCTGCGTGTCCCTACCATAGTTAAGAGTACCTTAAGAATTAACGACATGGCGCTATATGGCAATGGATAAATATTTTATTTTTACTTACGTAATTACGTTATAACATAGCATCACGTTTTTTAACCTTACACACAGACAAAACCTTAAATATATTATATGACTCAATTCCATAGATCCGTTTCCTATATCCACGAAATATACAAACAGCTCTACAAATAAAAAGGTACATTACCCTGAAATACATTTAAGTTGAAAGAGTGCGTTGCGTCTGAAATCTGAATGTAATCGATAGCGCTTTCTCATCACAATCATTAAAACAGGCAATTATTATCAGTTCAATTTTAAAATTAACATTTAGAAATTTATTTTACTGAAATGAACTATTGGAAAACTAAATGATATCAAAATTTTTACCTCACCGACGTCAATGGTATAACATGTGACATTAGCGAGTCGACAACGCGAACCTATGAATTTTCCCCATACAAAATTGCCCAACGCTCCTTTAGAAGTTCTCAGTACAAAAAGAATCATACAAAAGAAACACGTTATTTTTATTTAAACACTTGGACCAAAAAATAAATTTAGCAACGGAACTAAAGAACTGTGCCACTACGCCGGACCTACTTATATCAAACAAAGGCGAAATTGGGAAATTGCTTTACGCTTTCATTATTGCACAAGTACGACTATCGTCGAAATTGTTATTATAATTAAGTAAAGCGGTTGGTTGTACAACGTAGATACCAATCATGTAGATGTCAAAAAAAATATATTGTAAGACACATTTTTACACAACGTTCTCTATTCCAAAACTAAGCAACGCTGGTACTATGGGTACTAGATAACTGATAAACATACTTTTCTTTTGTAAATAAATACATACATATTAAATATATTTAAACACCCAGACACTAGAAAAACACTATGTTCATTACACAATATTTTTGCGGTAGTGGGGATCGAACCCACACCCTCTGGCGCAGGCACTATCCACTATGCCATTCGGGTCGTCATAAACTGTGTTGTTAACTGAATATATAATTTTTTTATAATAATATATATAAATGCATTAGCATTATTTATTAAGAATGGCGTGAGCGGCTTTGTGTATTAAAAGTTAATCCTATGGTTGTGTAATCCCAAACTGCATTTTACAACTCATAATGAAATAAGGAACACATCACAAAATTAAGACAAGTCCGATAATCATTGAATATGACGATTATATGCCAACCTGGAAACCCAACGAAGAACTAAATTGAAATAAAGATGTTTTATCTAATAAAATGGTAGCTTTAAAGCTGGTAATTAAAAAAATCATTTTCGAATTAGGACCTAAAATAATAAGGCATAAAATAAAAGCAAATGAAAATGAATCTGTATAAACCAACAAAATGAAAATAAATCTGAACACACTTTAATAATATGTTTCCCAGGTAATTTCGTCAAATGCGGGAAATTATGTTGTGTTACATAAAATTGAATAATATTCTTCCATTTGTGAGACGAATTATAAAACAAAGGAATCTAATCCTCTGACGGCGAAAGTCGCAATAAAAATACGATAAAACGAAGTTTCTCCTTGAAACCAGAGTAGGAAATCCGTGAAGTTACAGAGTTTCTACATAATAAAGCAATTAATTGATTAGAACATTATTAGCAAGTTAAATTTTTTTGAAATGGTAAGAAATACAAGTGCTCGTTAACTTCATGAAAGTGACGCTCGCGATTATGTAAGTTGATAGAAATCGGTCAACCGATTGGTACGTTTCGTTAAAAACTATTTCAGTGTAAAATCAGTTGTATTATTGTTAAATGGAGGTAACAAGGAAGTAGGCCCGAACTATATAATTTTTAGATAACATTAGATTATAAGAATTATTCTAAGAATTCAAAGCAGCGTTATGTGTAGTAAAAGGGAAAGTTTAAAAAAAATGTTGTAATTTCTTTTCTTATTTTTATTGGAATTTATGGCTAGTCAATTAACTTTATCTGTCTAGATTTAGTATCAGTTATGTTTTTTACTTCAACTCTCGCTACTTTCGCAATGAATAAATTATGCTAATAATACTTTGGATGAACAGTTTCTTATAAAATCGACAGTAAGTTTGGTGTATAGAAATATTGTTCTAGACAGAATTTTATATGTTTACTATCATTTTGAAACCTAACTCAACGTAATTATATGCTAATTATTAACACTACTTATACTAGGTTAACATTTTTTTAGTGTTCACTAATTACTTTGTAACAGTCGTTACAAAACGTCACTACAAAACAATCACAAAATTATTCACGTTCGCATTGCAAGAGCATCAGACGTATTGGTGCAATACCACTTGGCCGTATCACCTAAATCGGAGACCTAAATTGCATCAATAGTACGCAAGCGGGATCAGATAAGAATTTCGTGGTACTTGCATGGTGTAATAATGTAATAAAAAACAAATATTGAACATCCGTTACAGCGAATGGGCAGGACGGCGCGTTGCGGTTCAACGGAGCTGAACGGACCTGACGCAGCTTCACAACGGCTGAGTCGGTCACTTAACAATTTTAACAACGCTCATAATAAGCACAAATTTTCGCCATAGCATTATAAATAGATGAACACTTCGCCGAGCCTCAGTGAGGTAATGATGCAAAAATTGTTTTAGAAAGTGGGCATAAATACATTCCTAAGTATACGGGCATAAATACGTTTCCATATTATGAGCAAATTAAAACTAAGCGAAGCGTCATATTATGGTACATTGTATGCTCTTTTTTTTATTTCTAAAACTGTAATAGAAAGTCGACTACCTGGAATGCGGACATCCGTTTTGGCGGTGGCACTTGTGGAGATTTGTCGACCAGGTTTTCCATGGAATGCCGTGTGAGGAATCCTTGCTTTTGAAAGGAAGTGTTGGTTTTGTATGAGGCTCGATTAAACTTCGTTGCCGGCGCAACAATACGGTTTCCATTCTCATCATCGTCCTCCCATTCAGTGACGACTTCAGTACGAACATCCTCGAGAGAACGCGACCGGCTACATGGACAGGCGGCAGGCGACGTTGGGTTGGGGTGACGAAGTTGTCGCGGCCGATCTCTACTCAGATACGAATCCACGTAAGCGCCGGGGGAGGGAGCACCAGCAGAACGATAGCTGGGCGACAGGAAATAGTAATCGCGTGACTTATTGCTGTAAGCGCTCATAGCGGAGAAATCCGAATAGTTAGAGCCCTTCGAAGACGACGTCTTGAAGTTCCTCGATTCCATGGAGTCCGAGGGGCGGAAGTAGAAGTTGGGTTGCGCTTGGCGGGAAAGCGGTGGCCAGGGCCTAAACGGCGGATCCACGTAATGTGTCGGTTTCGACTTCATGTTGGCAGTGGTGCATCCGAGCGCGGCGGAATCGGTTCCGTGCGGATGTAGCCGTGGAAGCAGCGCTACTGCTGGCGCGGACGGCGAACGGTGTGCTCCGACCCACCACCGACCGCACGCCGCACGTTAGACAGAGATGAAAACATGGAGAAAGGCGCTCTCGCGTTCCACTCGATCCGTTGAATGCGAATACAAGTGAAAGGGGTGGCCCGTTCGGTCACAACGCTCAGATATCGACCGCATGCGGCGCAAGAGCAAGTATATCTATCGATTTACGGCATCCAACGATGCAAGTCGTATTTTTAACTCATGTTACGAGGCTATTATCGTGAAGAGAGTAAATTGCTCTTTAAAAACCTAAGTTTATTATACTTCCATATAGTAAATTATGTTCGAAGCGGTTCGTTAACATCTTCCAGCCCAGTGACTCCACATTAGACTGTACTGTAGCATAATTTAAATGTCAGCTTCTGATTATTTCAACTTTATGTAACGAGCTCGGCTCGCGATCTCGTTCATCTGAGATGCCTGAACGTTCATAATTTAAGCAAATGGTTCGCTCTACTTATGCTTGAATAGTTGTTAAACGCGTGTCATAAAAAAGTGAAGCATTTCGCAATATACGTCGTAATAAGTCCGCATGGAGCGATATGTTATTTAAACGTACATAAGTATAATGCTAAATTGCCTGTCGTAATATACATTTTGCGTTATAAAAAATTCACGCCTACACACTTGGCAGGTATAGCTGAGCCAGGCATGCTGGAAAATTCATTTAATTAGTCGCCTTACAAGTGACGAAAGAACTCAAGGCTGCACCATATACAGAACGTGTAATAAACAAGATTATTCAGAAGTCATCATAATCTCATAAGCGTCCTACGCTATGAGAATTAATGTATTATTAAGATTCTAAATAGCCATGAACGCAAAGCGTCCTTTGCTATACTTGATTCATTGTTGTATTATATTGTAAACTTTTAAAATGAAAGATAATAATTTATTCAGTTACTCTTGATACAATTATTTTATACATATTTCTCTTTTTGTCTAAAAGAGAAAAATGTTACCTACATTTTTCAGAAGACTTTAAGGACCGAGACAGAGAAGACTGGACTATTTTAAATACAGCATTAATAATGTGGTTCCAGCGGACTAAGTTAATTATTCCCGGATTTTATTAAGGGAGTTAATAAAAAGAGGTGAATAAGAAATAAAGATGTCTTGAAGAAATAAATAAATTAAGGTTATAAAAATGTAACTATTACACAATATACTAAATTAAACAAGATAAATACATCGTTTTTTTAAGACATCTAGTTTTATTAATCGATGCTTAGGATAGAAATAATGATTATTTACTCTTGAATTTGTATTAACGTGATTTAAATCGGTTTAAAACATATTAAATGAGATAGGCAGCTGCAAAATCATCCACACCCGTGACTTCATTCTTACTTGTGACTCACATTACCGAAAAATCCTTTGTTAAATACGTAAACAATGACAGAGCAGCAGGTGGTCCACTTCAAAAATTTTACAGGGTGGAATACTCTTCGTTGTTTCGGCAAGGTGAATATTGTACTAAAAACTTCAAAATAACATTTTAAATGAAATGTTTATTAAAAAAAGCAATATTTGCCTATACTCATTTCCCATTTCTAACACAAAAACACAAGTTACAAAAAAATATAAAAACATCTTAGGTGTTTTTCTATAAAAACAGAATTTTCATTCACACCTATTAAGTCCTAACACTTTAAATATCTACACCAGTTTAAAAAATTTACAAAAGAATATATGACGTGCCGTAATTGTCGGTCTCGTACAATAGTTTACAGCGATTAGAGTCAATTGGAACTTATTGAATAATTACGTGATTCACAACTGGACGGGAATATTGTTATCGGGTTACATTGGAAAATTAAAACCCATCGCTCTCGTTGAACAGGCGTAAATATTGCGCTTCACGATAGAAAATTGTCAACATGATAATCATGTCGTATCGTTGATCACTTTATATAATAAATTTTTATAAAGTTTTAAATGTTTCCTTAAACCTTATCAGTAGTAGTAATTTAAATTTGAATCATTCAAATTTAAGACGCGTCCACCAGTCCAACTATTCAACTAGTTGATCCGTCCTAAATGTCCGCACGTTATCATGATCAAGTCACTGAAGGGTAATTAATAATTTGAAAATAAGTATTCATCAATGAAATTTACCTTACTTTGAGGAATGGGTAACCTTTCAATTAAGCAAATTGTTAATAAATATTATTATCATTCTATTATATACGTATACTATTATATCATACCTAAATTTAAACTTTTATCTATATGCCTACCTTTCGTCAATAACGGCAAGGCTAAGCTTTATGGTGTATGCATCATTAAATTGACTGAATGAAGAATTATGGAAATTATGGTGTTACAAGAAATTGAAAAAAAATGACATATCGATATTACGACTTCTTCATGCATAAAATTATTAAATTTGTTTAAAATTTACTCGGCCGTCTAGTGCATAGTTACTAATGGCATAGTTACTAAGCTGTTGGCTTAGGCACCGATGGTCGTGTTTGATTGGGCCACACTCGTGAAGTAATTGGTCATTCACAGATGGACAATCACAGCATAAGCATAACGCGAATTATTAATATTTCACAAGTTACAAAACTGTTTCAACATTTTTTATGAAGACTGACTGACACATACGACGGCGTTGCCGTCAGATACTTTATGCGAAAGCTCTTTTCGCCCTTGTTATTTTATAAAAACCAATACATTATTCAGATGATAACACGGAATGCCTCTTACGTTCTGTATTGTTAAAAATAATTTCCATTCGTATTTTTCTTTCGTAACGTCTTACAAAAGGTATGTCAATTATTTGTAGGAACACAATTCCTAATATTTCTGAAGAAAAGTAGAAATGAATATTTTATTGTAACATGTAAAATTAAGCTCCTGAGAACGTGTAGGTACTCTAATGGGTATTCGGCACAAGCTGTTTCTCCGTAGTCGGCTTTTCAAAAGAAAAAAAAAATGCTTCAGAGCTACGCCAATAACGAAAGCGTAAAAATATACAAAGGTATGTAAACAAATGAACGTAAATCATATTTTATTTGCCTAACGTTGCTTACCAACCTTATAAAAGTTTCCTAAGCAGAAATTGTACAGACGTTCATAATTTAACATGATCCATTGTGTGTCCATACTTGACGAGTGAAGAAATTAATTCCCATTAAAATTTCAATTATCATGAACTTATTATATAAATATAGTAAGTTCATGATAATTGAAAAATAAATCAAAATACTACGAACGCTATCCATGGAACAAGATAACAGAGATAGTAAGAAAAATCATTTACGGATATTAATGTAATCCGATTTGAAATAAATCGTTTGTATTTTTCCGAAATATAAAATAAGTATATTTTGATTTTATATTATTATTGGGCATTTATTTCATTAACAAAAGGATTTGTATTACCGTACAATTTTTCTACCTTGGTTTACAGTCGAACAAAATTTGACGGCGATATATTCCATAACTCTGACTTTTGCATTAGATTCAAAGGATAAATTTGCACCAGTCTAGATGCACTGAATGCATATGTAAGTACCTATCTTATAAACTATGTAGTATGTGTGTCACATACGTATGCATCTCAGCCAGACTTGAGACATAACGTTCATGTCAGACACGTAACCCATAAGTCAATGTTATACGTATATTAAGAATTATGGATGCGAATTACATTGCAACGCTAATAATGTTCCCGAAATGTATAAAATTATTCAATATTTACAGAGACATATATATGACAGAGAATGTTGTTTATGATATTATTATTTATGACATTATTTATTTACAAAAATATAATTATATATATATAGTTAGTACAAGCTAGGGTCTTGATGACGTTCTGGAAAAATATGTCCTGAAAATATTTATCTATTTATTTATTAATATTATAATTAATAAATATTTACAAGAGTTATTTTAGCTCCGCGAAAAGGTTAAAGCATTTTTGTTTTTCATTTGAAGAACTTAAGATCATTTTGATTAAATTATCTCAAACGCAATACTTTTTTAACTGTTATTTAAAAACTCTTTAATAATCTGTACATGGAGCCGTGAGAGCTCTGTGTCCGGGCACTCTCCTTTAATTTAATATGCTCAAGCAACGTGAGTTCGATCCTCGGTGCCAGCACCAATGAAATTGTCAATTTTAAAGGCTGAATTATCACGTGCTCAGCGGCGAAAGAAAACATCGTGAGGAAACCTGCACATGTTCGAATAACAAAAAAAAATATTTCGAAGATATGTGAAGTCCACCAATCCACAGTAGACCGCGTGGTGGACAATACCCTGATACCCTCTGTAAAAGAGGTGGCCTTTGTCCAGCAATGGGACATGTATATATAGGCTGATACTTTACTTTTACATGGAGGTGTTGAAAAAAAAACATGTTTTAATCTCAAACGACAGAAAGAAGAACTTTAAATGTAACGTGACGACAACTGTTACATATCTAAGAGGTCATGATCCTAATAAAAATGAATACTGATATAGTCAATATCAGCGTGTCGTTAATTGTTCAATAAATGAACACACGTCTAACGCTACTTGTCAATAATCATAAAAAATATTAACGTTAAAAAAATCCATAATTAAAAAAAAAATATTTTTAAAACAAACTAATTAAGTAAAAAAGAAATTATTTTTGTAACATCCTATACAAGTACAACTGACTTTCAAAGACTTTTTCTTTCGTTGCCACAGCGTCTCATTACAAGCCTCTCCTTCTAACAGAATGTTTTGTCTCTTTTAAATTCATTCAACACATTCATGTACTTTGTGACCTTTACAAATGAACTTTACGTTACAGTTTTATACGTAAGGGTATTCAAAATTCTTTTTTTTTTTTGGAAAATTTTATAACTGTAAATATTGATGTTTAAAGAAAGTAAATGTTTAATACAATTTTAAAAAGTTATCCTCTATATGTGTGTTCATTTATTGTCGCGATTGTAAAGACACGCTGTAGATTCACATGTTCAAAATATTATACTCGTACACTAAAGAAAGGAAAACTTTGACATAATATAATCGTGACTTAGAGATTGTGATGTATGCACTAGTGAGAGCGTCATTGAATAATAAACAAAATAAACTTATTACATAAATCTCATTTATCGATATATAAAAGATACTAGCAACCCGCCTCAGCATCACACGGATAGACAGAAAGATAAGTCATTATTTTATTATTTCAATAAAGATTGCAAACTACCATTTGCTTTTAGTTTTTTACAAAAAATAACTGTATACGTAACGTTTAGGTAACTAGTAGAGTAAGTGTAAGTGTATTAGTTAATTGAAATTTTATCTATCTACTAGCTTTTCGCTTGCACTACGTCATTTAGCATTTATAAGTAATCGTGGCAACTACTAAAGGAAAAGTCTAATTCGAACAATTTAAAGAAATAATTTAAATTTACGTAATAAACTTTATAATTATTGTGATACGAATGTCATATTTTGATTCTATGTGTGTTCCGATTAAATAGTTTGAACAAAAAAACGGCTTTGGACTAATTACAATTATGAATCGAATTAGAATATATGTGTATTACAATATGCAAAGATATGTGAAGTCTACCAAACTACAGTAGGGTTCCTGATGCCGATTATCCCCTAGTACCTTCTGTACAGATTTTGTTAGCTCGTTTATTTGTACTTTTACTTGTACGAAAGAGCATTTTAAAAAAGTATGTGTTTTCTTATTTACGCACGTAAGAACTTATACTTTTTTAGCATAAAAAAATAAAAACAACTAAAAATTTTATCCCCTGTACCAGTACTCTTTGTATAATACATTAGGTTTAATTAAATAACTTTGCATTATAGGTAAATTTCAAAAGGTTGTTATTGATTGCCATGGTTTACAATACTGTGAAGTTGATAAAGTTGGTTTTAAAGCGGCAACTTCATCGTGTCGCTTTAAAAGTTTCAATCTCATTAAAAACTAGGTATACTTCTAGTAAGTAATCAGAATTTAACTTACGTTCCGCTAGAAAATTAGATTTACAGCTAGTGTCGAAATAATCTTTATACAAGCTCGAAATAATTATATTTCATTCCACTTATATTTTCAAACATCCTTACACTCACGAAATGACGCTTACATAATTGGCGTAGTTCTGCAGCATAAATGTCAATTGTCGACAGACCGTTTTAAAACGACGCGACATCATCAATAGCTGCAAACTCTTAGCCGTGACAAGAATATTCAGAGACGTTCGATGTTCGACTACTAAAGAAATATCCGAAATAGCATTTTCCCCTCACCTATCAATTAAAAAATTACGTATTGATATCGTTTTCCTCAACTTCGGAACGCAGGCAAAACAGACGATGTTCTCTGCACTCGCCGTGAGACAAAATGTAAATATTGACATGATTTAGTCGTGGGGGAAGGGGGCGAGTCGTCGGTTGCGTGTCCATTTAAGGCGGCACAGGTCGAACGGACAAGCGCTCTACGGCACAGCGAACCTTGTACAGAACTGGGGACATTCCGAGATCTTATCGAATTTCTATTTGCATTCACTGTTTTAGAGAGTCGAAACCGTTCGAAACGCAGCCATCAACTACATTAACTACATTGTTTGTTGCCCTAATTAGTGTCTTCTGCCCCTTTATCAGCACATCACCATAAGGCTTACTTGCCAATACAGGGTTTGCTCTCACATATCGTGCAGTAAAGGCAATTGTCGTTAACTTTCAACGTGTTTATAGCATCGCTTACGTGACAGTGTTACATAGTTTGACAGACCTGATTTTACTTCGAAGGTTGTAAGGAAGGTTGTACCTAAATAGGGAACAAGTTTACAGGCGAGAAAAACATTTATTTTTACAACGCAGAGTTAATTTTGAAATACTATTTTTGTGTATATTTGTGTAATTTGCCCTTAAATTTTATACAATACAGTGGAAAAATTAAAATGATTGTCGCTTAAGCGGACTATTAAATCTACAGTAAACCTGCTTACGTCTAACGGAACGTAAAAAGTCCTCACTACTCTTATTGTTCCCTTTGCCTGCAAAATATTTCGCAACACCTTAAGCGTTTTTCTACCAACTCTGTTACGTAGGAATTACATATGTAAGTAATGATTTACATTAGAATCGCGTGTTAACGTTGTAAAGACTGCAACACCTAACATGCAACAAGTAGATCGATACGTAAGTTGAATTAAAAGTAACGCTTCACGCTCATTAAAGACATAACGGAAAAATGTAGAAATTCGCTAACAGAGCGGAGATGAATTAAAACTGATCTTAAGTTTCTATGTAACTAGAATTAAATTTCTAATTGGTATATTTAGTTGTTTATTTGATCCCAGATAACCTACATAATTGAATTAAATGGAATATTGATAACATACGCCGACATTACGCAGTTACAGATAGATGGAAATCAATCGCAAAAGGTTTATAAAATACTTGCACTATAATAAAATTTCAATTGCCTTATTAGTTTTACCTTACTGAGTCCGGTTGTGTGCCTGTCATCGTGCGTTAGCGATGAAACGGAGCCGTGCCTTATATTAGTATCCCACGTAATGTGCCAGTTATCCAGCGAGTCCGAGGAGGACTTCTTCGTGTCGATAGAGCTTTTTCTTGACAATGAATTAGTCGAACTAACGTAGTCGCGCTTCATATCCCTAATGCTATTGCCGGACAGGGAGTCCCGCCTGTTGTAATTGACTGCGTTGCAACGGGAAAGGTTGGGGAAGGAGCCCATTGAATGGCGTTTGCTGGAGAAACGCAGGGTTGGACTCGGCGTGTCCCGGCGTGGTGGCGTATGTGAAGGGCTATGCCGGTCACGTCTTAGTATGCTGGGAAACGTTGATGGATGCTCTAGCTCACGCGCCGGTGACCGCGAAATACCCAGTGAATCGCGGCGCCTGTGGAACAATCCACGTTTTAAACTTTCGAAAAACATTCACGTTAAAATTTTGAAAATTACACAATAACCATTGCCCGTAATTGGTGTAATAGCATATTCACAAACCTGATAATAAGACCATTTGATGGGGAGACCGATTCTCTAAAATATCCTGGTGTGGACTCGCGGCTGTGAAGGTAAAGGGACGACCTGTACGGAGTGCTGCAACGGCCGTGCACGTCGCAGTGCGGATCATACTCGATAGTTGAGCTCACAATTGGGGAATGTCTTCCTTCACCCTCAAGGGTCAGGCTACCAAACATCGAATCCAACTGTCGCATTGCGAGGACTTTTTTGACAGCAGTCATATTCGCTGCCCACAAGTTTTCTCACTATTCAGAGCTACACTAATTCATAAAAATCACTTCGCGCGAAACTCCTTCGAGATTAATTTCGTTGGGGTAAAATCGTGAATTTAAGTAATATGTATGCCTTCTAAGTATGCCGCGACGCGACTGCTCGATTCCGTCGGCATTGTGCGCAGAATGGTTACCGATGACTCACGCGAACAAGCGCGCGCGCAAAACGAGACTACATCACTACAATAATCAACATGTCCTGTGACTACGGTAGTTACGTGTAAATATAGGTTATAAGGAGGTAAATAATGTTCAATAGTAACGTGCAGAAAATCATTAGTAAGCAAGGACATTAGGCATGTGGGTGTCGTTGCCAAGTTCATGCGAAGGTTATGCGACATCTGTAATATCGAATCGACTCTTATAGCTGCAACAGAATCAAGTTGAAGCTGCCATTAAGATAACGGCTTACTTTTGGGCATAGTTCGGACCAGCAACATCGATTTAAAATTAAAAAGGGTATATATGAAAATATCAACACGATTTAAAGATTTTATTCACTATGTTCGTGAACTTTTCCGAAAATAAAAATATCACACCTTCATAATCTTATGTCGTGGACCGATATCTCTAGTGTAAAACTATTATAGCTCGAAATTAAAACATTTCACACAATATTTATATCTTGAACTTTAACATCTATTAATGTAGTTATAGAACCCGTTGGTTTTATACTACGGATTAACTACAAATTTTACGTTTTTTTTATGCAGAAAAGTTTCTACCGTATACTTACTTATTATTAGATAAGACCAAGAAATATTTAAGGCTTTGGATATTCTTCCTAAATAGATAATCTATTGTTTTGTCAATATCAATAACATTAGCGATTACACTTATTGCTTACAGTAGATAAAATATTAAGACGTTTATGTTTCTTGATTATAAAATTAAGATTAAACAAATTGTGACCGCATGAATTTGAATAAAATTATTAAATTGCAAATAAAAACTTTTTAGCAATTTATGTTAATTCTTAAGTTTACAAAAAAGGTGGGAAAGATTTTATATGAATAAATTTCACAGGTTTCGACGACTGAAGAATTACCAAATTAGATCCTTGACTTAAAATCATACTTTCGTGCTTTAATTATTTCGAAACTTTCAGCTGCTCTAATTCTCTTGCTCTCATATAACCCTTCTTAAATAAATCAATCTAAAAGGTAAGATCGAAAATTATGATAAATAGATAATCTATTATTGATCCAAGTTCGCAAATAGTCGTTTTTAACAGCTTGTTCATATCTATTTAGCTTAGATATTTTCGAAGCTAAATAGATAATAAGTCCGAATTTGTTTATATCGCTCGCGAAGAAGTTACAGAAAGCCGTCACATACTTAAAACGAACTAATGCTAAATAACAAGCCACAATGAGTTACATCATCACCGGACGATTTCGTCCAATGACAACACGCTGCCAGTCATTCAGTACCAATAAACGGTGATAAACTCAAACGACCTTGACCAAAACACAAATAAAATAAAGGCCAATTGTAGCCAGTTAGACGGAGTCACCGATGAATAAATTTCACAGAACGAAATCGAAGCGAACAATACCTAAAATATGTCGTTGCTTGTTATGAACTATACTCATTTACGACCTGTTCAAAAAAATTTTAGGCGTTACGATGTCATTTAATTTAAAATTCTAGAAGCACGATTTGAAATAAAAATTAATCACATTAAACTATGCCGAATATGTTTCATATTATTAATATCAACTTAAGCTAATTGCTTGTGTCATTTGAATGCTTATGATAACATCCGTCAAGTTCCATATTTGAAAACCAAGAAAAGTTGCATAATTGACAAAATATTCATTCATTTTAAAATTTGTTAAGTTTAAACTAAGAAAAATTATTACATTTGAAATGGCACCCTCATCGCATTTTGCCCTGACGAAATGGATATAATGGAATAGCTGTTACTGTTCTCGTTGCAGAGCTTACTTTGTTCCACACAAATCGTGAGAAAGTCGTAGCAAATGAAAATGTATGGTTTTTAGAAATCTGGAAAACGGAGCATTCATTGGTGGACGCCACTAGCATATATCACGCTTTGCGAGTATCTTTGTCAATTTTGGTTAAAACTAAGATCAGTCGAAAAATTCCGAAAAATAAAAGTGTAAAATTAAGGTAAATATTGGTACTTGGTTACAAGTTTTGGGGAAAATATAAATTTGACCTTATCATTTTATCGCGTTGACTCGGGACCTTGATTTTTATACAACGAATAGGGCCCATAGCCTCTAGACCTTGTAAGTTGAAATTTATACCAGATCTAGTATCTGAGTATCTGGTATAAATTTCAACTTATAACGTCAACCTGTTCCTGAGGTCCCTAAACCTTTAACTATTATTTATTTTCGCGTTAAATTTTTCACTGCTATCTTCGACAGTAATTTGTAATGCGTCGAGGGCATCACGTTTCACTAAAAATAAATACAAAAAATGTTATTGAAACTGATTAAAAATCGGTACATATATATATATATGCAGTACTTTGTCTTATATATATATATATATATATATATATATATATATATATGACAAAGTACTGCACCGAAAGAGTGTAATGACCTCTTTTACATTTTAAGCACCAAAAATAAATTTATCTCATTGAGCCCAATTACTATTCAGTGAGTATATAACCAAAGAAATCAAAGTGTACATTCGGAAAGGACACTTGCGAGACTTGGAGCACCTTTAACACGCCACTTTTTGTTTTAAAAATTTCACTAAATAAGTATACATACCCAACACCACCATTTTACAGTAACGTTTCGTTTGGGCCAGTCCGTAATTTATTTGACAGTGGGCGTTGGGAGCTGGTCCAACGAAGGCCATGCTTATTACAAAGCAATAAATAAGATCATTTTCAAAGGCGATTCTTGATAAATCAACTACGAATGACAAGACAAAGATATAACGTCGGCAGTTATATATATGGTGTTTTTATATAAACTGCTAAATCAGACAAGACGTTTTTGGTGTCAGCGTCACTTTTTATCGAAGTGTTTACGGTCGGGTCACAATAAAGCGCTTCACATTAATAAAGCAAATTTATGTTGTAATAAACATTAAATTTTAATAGTAAGCGTAAGCCCGAAAACACTGGGTTCATTACACCCGGTGCGTTCCTGACGTGGAATTAGGACTGTAAATACTTTAATGCTGTGATCGAAGAGTGTGCATATTTTTACTAGTACTAGTAAAAATAGTAGTAAAATCTTGCAAGTTTAGAATTTTATACGTTGATTTTTGTAATACTTATATGTTAAATTATTTTAAATTGCCGCAACTGCCGCATTATATTGGAAATCGTCAAGAACTAACCCTCATAAGATAGGCATTGCCTAGTGTGGGGGTCAGAAATAAATTGAAATGTAATTAGGCTTTTTCTGAATAAAGTTTATTATACGTAAATACTGTCATCAATCAATCAAAAATCTTTATTCAAATAGACGCTTGCGCGTTCTTATGAATCGTCAAATTTTACATAAAAAAATAGGTTATAAAAATATATTATTACATAGCATTTCATTACTAATAGTACTATCGACACGTGCTATTATTTCTTTTTATTGAAAAGGAGGCAAACGGGCAGGAGGCTCATATGATCGAAAGTGATCACAGCCACCCATGAATTCAGCAACACCGGGAACTTGCAAGTTCATTGCCGAACTTTCAAGAAGGAACGTGCTCTCTTCTTAAAGGCTCTTAGGCCGTAACGGTTCGTAACAACCGCAGCTACAGCTGGTTCTACAGTGTGCCTCTGCGACGCAGAAAATGTCTTAAAAATCGCTTTTGTGGATCGCTGGACATCGAGGTTGTGTGGATGACATTTCTGGTTTAGGGGCGATGTCAAATGGTGAAATTCAGCGGCCGGAATCAGTACAAAAAATTCTTCGCAATAATCCCAGTGGTAAGTGACATGCCGAAAATAGGAGTTAAGACAATTTTGACCATTTTATTGGTTAACGCTAAAACTTGTGTCTGAATTTGTCTATGTTTAGTCGACTCCAGTCCGAGACTTCTGTTACCAAAGACTTCAGACACAACTCTGTTCCGGCTTATTCGTCGACTTACTTCCGAGAAATATTAGAATAGCCAGTGTACAAGACATCCACAGTGCTATCGTCTGCATAACAATGAATTTGCATAACATTTATTGCCATTGGTATACAGAAAAAGGAGAGGAGAATGAGAGTAAGAGACAACACGCAGTGAAACACCAGCATTTACAAATTTAGGATCAGTGCATGCACCGTTGACGATGATGATGACCTTGATGCTCAGATCTGCCAAAAAGCTGGTGATCAAGTCGCATAATTGTCCGGGAAACCCATGGAAAATTCTGTTTCTGTGCTAGGGCCATGTGTGGTACGCCAGCGTGGAGTGGAAGTGTTATACTCCTGCTTCTGGTGTGTCTTATAGCCGGGGCCAAGAAAGGTGACAACGCATTACTAACTCTACGTGTGTCGCTAATGTTCATGGCGGTTATCACTTAAAAACAGGTGAACCACCAGCTCGTTTCCCATTTTCTTGAATTATAAAAAATAAATAAAGCTTGGGTGAGACCGCTCCAAAAGTGTTCCAACCCTACCCACTATCGTCGTGTTTCTATTCTGGCCTTCCTCTCCAAAATAATTGAGTCCTGTGTCCATAAACAACTATCCTGTTTTGTTTTTAGAAACAACTTGTTAAGTCCTTTCCAATCCGGATTTAGATCCTGGTCATACTACCAGCACCGCTCTCCTTAAAGTGACTGGCGATATTAGGGCGGGCATGGAGGGTCAAAGGTTACCGTTATGATTCTTATTAATTTTTCATCCTCTCCCATATAATGGTTTCTGACGAAGCACTGGAATGGTTTTGCTCCTATCTTCGAGGACGCCAGCAGGCAGTCAATAATGGTGATTCCTCATCACGTTGGCTTAGTTTGATTA